TAAAAATCCACCAAATAGTGACAGGCTTGGTACCATAGCCTGGGATTAAAGTGGGTGACTAAAGTAAACATAACTGTTGAATGTAGAGAGTCAAAGTATAGAAGATATGCCATTATGATGCCTCAAGTGCACTAAAAGCATGTCAGGGCTGCCTGTGTGACCTAGTCTGAGCTTGGATATCAGGTCTGGTAMAGCAAACTGAGACTTCCCCAAGTAAACCCTATATGGACCAAGTCCTCTCAGTCCTTTGACATCACTCTGGAAGAAAATAGAAGAAAGAAGCCAAGTATAGTGGCACACCTCTATAATTCCAGCTACTTAGGAGACTAAGACAGGAGGAACACAAGTTGGAGGCCAACTGGACATCTTAGCAAGATCCTCTCTGAAAATAAAAAAGGGTTGGGGATGTAGCTCAGAGTACTGCCTAGCATTTGTGAGGTCCCTATTACTGCCAAAAAATAAAAATAAATAAATAAAAACCCACAAATGAATAAGTAAAATAAAAAGGAAAGGGAAAGGAAAAGAGAAAAATGTAAACAAATACTCATTTCCCTTTTAAGTCTTCATCTTTACTATCCCAGAAATTCTTTTAAGAACCTCAAGAATTTTTTCCTTAAGAAAGAGGCACGGGGMTGGGGCTGGGGCTCAAGCAGTAGCATGTTCGCCAGGCATGCGTGTGGCCTGGGTTCAATCCTCAACACCACATACAAACAAAAATGTTGTGTCTGCTGAAAACTAAAAAAATAAATAAATATTTTAAAAATTCTCTCTTTCTCTCTTTCCCTCCCCCCCCCGTCTCTCTCCTCTATCTTAAAAAAAAAAAAAAAAAAAAAAAAGTAAGAAAGAAAGAGGCACAGTGGTTCACACTTGTAATCCCAGCAGCTCAGGAGACTGAAGGAGGAGGATTGTGAATTCAAAACCAGCAACTTAGTAAGGCATTAAGCAACTCAGTGAGACCCTGTCTCTAAATAAAAAACAAAAACAGGCTAGGGATGTAGCTCAGCAGTTAAGTGCCCCTGGGTTCAATCAAAAAAAATTTTTTTTCTTTTTCTTTAAGATTGTCAGGTACTTCTTATCAACTATTTTAAACTAGGGGAATGTAGAGGCTGGGATTGTGGGTCAGTGGTAGAGCGCTTGCCTAGCATGTGTGAGGTCCTGGGTTTGATCCTCAGCACCACATAAAAATAAATAAAATAAAATTATTGTGTATAACTACAACTAAAAAATAAAAATAAATAAAAATTTAAAAGTTGGGAGGGGCTGGGGTTGTGGCTCAGCGGTAGAGTGCTTGCCTAGCATGTGCGAGGCGCTGGGTTGGATCCTCAGCACCACATTAAAAAAATAAATAAAATAAAGGTATTGTGTCCAACTACAATTAAAAAAAAAGGTAAGGGAATGTAGTAAACAGACACATTATAGGACCAATGATAGCAACAATGATCCCTAACATAATCAATCTCAAGATCCTAAGATCCTAGATGAGAATGAGAGGAATTCACAAATATTTGATGGAATCAGCCACCTACAGAAGCCTCCTAGACAAAATAAATTATCTCAGGGATCCCCAAGAATGCCTACACAAGCCAGGCATAGTGGCGGACACCTGTAATCCCAGGGACTCAGGAGGCTGAGATAGGAGGATCACAAATTCAAAGCTAGCCTCAGTAATAGTAAAGCCGTAAGCAACTCAGCAAGACCCTGTCTCTAATAAAATACAAAAAGGGACTGGGGATATGGCTCAGTGGTTAAGTGCCTCTGGGTTCAATTCTGGTACCAAAAAAAGAATTCCTACATATATATAGCTGCTCTCATGGCTAAATTTTATTACCATGCAAGTCTATTGGCAAGGGAAAAGGACACGGGTAGTATCTGGAGAAACCAATGCACAGGCTTCTTTATGTTTTCTCCATCTTATGAGGAAAACACCGACTCTGATCCTTGCTACAACAGCAAAAAAAATGCCAGATAAATCCATTAAAGACTTTAGCACCCAAGGTTTTTATTAGATCTGGTCATATAGAAATTGTCTGCCTAGCAACTATTAAAATTCCAGATTCACAGAAGGAAAGCAGACGTTTGAAATGTATCATATAGTGTGTACAAAGAGTCTAGGCACAGTGACCCACCATCTTTATCAGTTAGGAAATGGAGGGAACAGTTCAAGTGCCAAGTGCCTAGAGTCTAGCCAAGAGCCAATCTTGCAAGCAGGCCCTTATAAAGAAGGCAGCCTCTGACCTGCTCTGTTAATTCTTCTGAAGTGATGGTAATTATTGCCAGTGAGGCTGAAGTGGTATTAGAAAGCTGCCAACCTCAGATAGAGGTAATTAATTGTACAATATATTGTAATCTTGACAACTGAAGCAGTTATGACAAGATACAAAGACAATAACATTGAAATTACACAACCTTTTTCCCCCAGTATTGGCGATGAACTGAAGCACACACTCTACCACTTAGCTACACCCCAAGTCCTCATGTTCTTATTACTAGTGAACAGGCAGAAGGCAAGCTGAACTTAAGGTGCACTTTTCAGAGTTATTGAGTGGGACAGGGTGCTATTACTCCTGAACCATTTTCTTAAAGATCATCTAATTCCCTGCATCCTCTTTCTCCAAATCCAACAAACTTCTGACAGATTTGTTGGTCCTCCTACTAAGAGGAGAACATGCTGACTAGCTGGCATGAATTTGACTTAATAAAGCAGCCCTATGGTCCATTATGAAGTTTATCTAAGTATCCGCGTTATCATTCAATTAAGTATCCATAGGCCTGCCTTTAATTCATATCCTTTTTTTGTTTTGTTTTTTTAAATATTTATTTTTTAGTTGTAGTTGGACACAATACCTTTATTTATTTTTTTTTTTAATGTGGTGCTGAGGATGGAACCCAGGGCCTCACACGTGCTAGGTGAGCGCTCTACCACTAAGCCATAATCCCAGCCCCTGTTTTGTTTTGTTTTTTAAACTCAGGAGCACTTTATCACTGAGCTACATCTCTAACCCTTTTTTACTTTTAATTTTGAGACAGGGTCTTGCTGAATTGCTTAGACTGGCTTTGAACTTATGATCCTCTTGCAGGAGCCTCCCAAGTTGCTGGGATTACAGATGTGCACTGCTATGCTCAGCCATTCAAGTCATCTTGTTGATCTTCACAATAGTACAATCAAGTACGGCCCTGGTTTGTTTGTTTTATTTTGTTCTGTTTTACAGGAGAAAGTGAGGAACTGACCTGCCCAGGATCACAGTAAACAAGTGATATAGGATTTAAATTCAGATAGTCCTATCACCCAAATTCATGTCCTTTTCATTCTGTTATAGACACACTTTTTCTTTCTTTCTTTATTTTTTTTTTTAAGAGATGAGGTCTTGTGATGTTGTCCAGTTTGGTCCCAAATTCTGGGCTCAAGCAATTCTCCTCTCTCAACCTCCTGAGTAGCTGGTGCATGCCACCATGCCCAGCTTATACTGTCTTTAATTAGAAGTCAGTCTAGTTTCCTAGGACCTGCTCACCCTGCAGGTGAGTGATTAAATCAAGTCTAAGAACATACAAATCTAGGTAACATTGCCCAAGTGTCTAAAATAGCTTTTCAACTTCATCCACCCCCCCATCACCAAATGCAGCAGACAGGTCTACAATCACCATTACTCCTGTCAGAAAACGTCCTCTTTTCATCTGCCAGAAAGCTGAGTGGACAAACCACCCCATCTCTTCAGGGCTAACACACTGTGCTCAGTCTCACCACAAGCTTTTAGGTGAAGAGTTGATATTTGCTGTTTACCCTCTCTATGCCTAGTCCTGAGGGAGAGACTTTATACTCATATAAGGAGACAGGCTTTGACAATTTAAGTAACTTGCCCAAGAAGAGGCACAGTAAGTGACAATGCAATTACCAAATTTAGGTCTGATTCCAAAATCTGCGTTCATTCTACCACCCCAAGCACATCTTTGGCTTTCACCTTTCTCCCAAGATAAGGATTCCTCTGGCATGAGTTCTTTCTCTCCTGAATCCATCCCAAGCTCACTTCTCTGCCACTGTCTCCAAACACAATCATTTACCTAGTCTAATGCCTCCAACCTCAGCCAATAATAATGCGCAATGGTTTTGCAGTTCAGAAAGCACTTTCAGAACAGTGCTTCATCTGCCCCCTTCCCCGGATTGGAAGTAAAATCACCCGTTTTAAGACAAAAAGATATCTCCAAGGTCACAGAATAAAAACCAGGGGAAATCGTGACCAGAGTCCCAGGTGTTAACCTCCTCACTGGTGCCCAAGGTTCAGCACCAGCACCCGCCCCAACGTTGTCACAAGATACCCCCTCTCCGCTGGACGCTCACCATCCTCCCACGCCTCCCCACCCGCGATGTCCTCACCAGTCGGATCGACCCCTCCCTCTTCTAGTAGATCCCTCCCCTCGCGGAGCTCCTCAACTCAGCAGTCCCCTCTAGTCACAGGCGGTTCCCCACTTGACCTCCCTCAGACCCTCGCCCCGCCTTCCTGCTTCAGCGCACCAGGCCCCTCCTCCTGTCAGCCCTCGGCCGAGACCACCTAGATTACCTTCTCCARGGATGCTGGTCTCTGCACTGCCAAGGAACGGGCCAGTGACAGGACTGTGTTGAAGTAGAAACCCCGCGAGGCGCTGGAGCCGGAGCTGGAGCCCGAGCCGCTGCCGCTTCCCCGGGCCGCGGCCGCCGCCATCGTCGCGCGCACCGCGGCGCTGGAGCCGGCTACCAGCACCCGGCCAGTGAGCACCCGGGCTCACGGCGCAGGCGCAGCCGCATCCGGCTTCCCCGCCACGTGACTTCTCTGTTGCCGACATTGGGTAGGGCGTGGCCGTGAGGGCGGTCCCATTGCTGCAGGGGGAGAGGCACCGTAAAGTAGCCTCTACCACGCGTTCTGGACGTGGCGTACCCCCTCCCAAGCCGCCTGGCGCAATGGTCGGATCCGAGGCGGGGCTGCCGGCGCTTTTCAGGCGGAAGGAGCTCGCGCGACCGGCGCCGAATCACAGGACGGGGCGTGGTGCTTGGCCGGTTCTGGCAGTGCTCCTCCTCTTTCCGGGACCGAGACGCGCTCCGGCACCATGTCTGCTTACCCCAAAAGCTACAACCCTTTCGATGACGATGCGGAAGACGAAGACTCTCGTTCAGCCCCGTGGAGAGATGCCCGCGACCTCCCCGACGGATCCAACGCACCCGCCGACAGGCAGCAGTACCTGCGTCAGGAGGTGTTGCGCAGGGCAGAGGCCACAGCCGCCAGCACTAGCAGGTCCCTGTCCCTTATGTACGAGTCCGAGAAGATTGGGGTTGCCTCTTCCGAGGTGAGTCTGGGACAGGACTGAGCTGAACTGGCCAGTCTTTACATTGTTAGACGTGATTGAGAAATGTTTTGTTCATGTTCTTGAGAATTCCCGATTTGTCTACCCTAGGTTCTTGTACTTAGTGACTTTACCATTTGTAATAATATGGTAACTATGTAAAGAGACATGTATTTTGAGTTCTTGAAAGAGACCATTTACCTGGGGAATCTTCCTTAACTGTAACTCCATTTAGTTGATTTTGTCCCCCTGTGTGCTTAGTTCAAAGGTAAACTCCTGAGGCATGAGAGCAAAGTTCTTCCTTCCATTCTTGACCATTTCTCCACCTTACCAGTAAAGATTTTAAAGATCCATGTGTGTGGACACCTGCTGAGTAAACTGAACCCTGAATTTGGTTAAGTCTAGAGCCTTACCTTTACTTCCCAAATCTTACACAGACTGCACATGGGTTGCGACAGTCTTGCTCCAGTTCATCTTTGTCAGCTTTTTCCAGCCAAAGATTTCAGAAAGTAGGACTTCCAATGAGAATCATTCTCAATTTAGCTTTTTCAGTATATTAATTTTCTTTTCAGCCTGATAAACAGTTTTCGATTAAAGAAGAGATTATGGTGGATCAACTTAGAATAATCTTTAGCATTTTGATGTTGCAAATGTAATGGTTGAAACTAAAATATGGTCTTCATCCTTGGGTCTCTTCTCTGGCAAAGTTCATTCTCCCTGATCACTTAGGGTCTTAAGTGATCAAGGTATGAATATATTGATTAACTTCTCTAATATTCATCTCTATCATTTTCCTAATGTTGGTTTTCCTGGGTTATTTCCTTTACCCACTTCTCCCTTTTATGGTATCCCTCATTAATCTACCTTCCTGTCTTTCATCTTACTGAGGAGGTTTTGCTTGTGGTTTTTACATCACATATGCTCCTATGTTCCAGTCCAAATGGAAAGTCTCAATTTACATTTTGGATGATCACCAGAGGTCTTGGGGCTCTGGTTTACAGGGTCACTTGATTGGGGGTCCCAAGCCCAAGGAACCCAACTAAGAACTATTTAAAGAGACATTTCTGGAAACTATGAGAACAAAAGAAAATCGGAAATTAAAACAATAAAAATTAGGTATTGTACTGGTCTCAAACCTGTAATCCCGGCCACTCAGGAGGCTGAGATAGAAGGGATCACAGGTTCAAAGCCAGCCTCAGCAACAGTGAGGCCCTGTCTCTAAATAAAGTACAAAATAGGTGGGGATGTGGCTCAGTGGTTGAGTATCCCTGAGTTCATTCCCTTGTACTAAAAAGAGAGAGAGAGAGAGAGATGTTGTGGTAGAAGATAAACTTGAATTTGGTTTTGAAGACTAAGATTTGGACAAGAAGAGTGAGGATGAAGGATGTTCCCAGGGAAGAGAGGGGGAATATGTAAATGAATTGCCTTAGAAATAAGGTTCCTGAGGCCTGGGTTGTATTTCAGTGGCAGAGCACTGCAAGCATGTGTGAGGCACTGGGTTTGATTCTCAGCACTGCATATAAATAAATGAAGTAAAGGTCCATTGACAACTTAAAAAAAAAAAAAAAAAGGATTCCTGGGCTTCTGAGGAGGGGCATGATAGACAAGATATGTGGAAAGAAGAAGCTGCTTAGGAATCCCTGGTGGTCAGAAGAAAAGATTTGTTATCATAATTCAGGAAAAGCAAAAATACAATAGGTGTGAGTTTATAATGTAAATTATGGTGACATGTGCCATGCTACCCCAAAAGGTTCTTCTCTCTGTGCAATGGACTGTACACAGGCATTTGCACCTCTGACATAGGAGGCTTTGCCTGGGTGTTACTTGGAGAGGTGCAGTATGACTGGGCAGGTGATAGGCTTTCTCACCAGTGATTAAACATTGAATTTTTTCAGGATTGAATCAGTTCTCAATCATTAGAGGCTGAAACACCAGCACAGTGGCACATACCTATAATCCCAGTGATTTAGGAGGCAGAGGTGGGAGGATCACAATTCGAGTCAGCCTATGCAACTTAGCAAGACCTTTCCTCAAAATAAAAAATTAAAATGAGCTAGGAGGTGTAGTTCAGTGATAGAGCACCTCTGAATTAAATCCCAATACCACACACACACACACACACACACACACAAACAAATTATTAGAGGCCCTGCAAGTCAGAAATAATTAGCACCATCACCCTACCCCATATTGTATAAACTGTCTTTGAATCATTACTCTTTCATTCCCTTCATTGTTGGGATGGGAGTGGGTAATGTGAAATCTTTTGGTCACACAGTGCTCCCAACAGACTCCAGTCCTGTGTACCCTGCTAACTTCCAAACTTAAATGGGTGCCTAACAAATACCCAGCACTGTGTAACATATTAACACTTTTTTTTTTTTTTTTGTACTGGGGTTTGAACCCAGGGCCTCACACATGCTATGCAAGTGCTCTATCACAGAGCTACGTCCACAAATCACTAAAGTAGATTTTTATAGAGGATTAGGAACTTATAAGTAATATGAAATTGGGAAAAATCATAATTCAATCCCAGCCTGGCAGAAATGGGAAAATTACTTAGTAAAGTCACTTTTAACAAGGAGAACTGCACTTTCCTATTGTGAAACTTGACAAGGTTTGCTTCTCAAAAAGGCTGTGGCCATAGTCATGATGACCAAAGGACAGAGAAGTAGAGTGGGGCGTGTACCACCTGACTAACAGAACTATTGGTAAGTGTGATTTCTTTGTTCTTTCCTAAGGTTAATTTTTGCAAAAAGATGTTCCAGTCATGTGGTTCAAAATTTAGCTTTTCTTTTTCTTTTTCTTTTCTTTTTTTTTTTTTTTTTTTTTTTTAATCTGCCATGCCTAAGGGATTGAACCTAGGGCTTCATGCATGCTAGGCAAGCACTTTACCACTAAGCTACATCCCAAGCCCTCAAAACATACAGAGGATTATGAAATTTCCTCCCATCCCCCTGCCTTAGCCTCCCTTTTCTCCTAAGTAAGATAGCTACTACCATCTGCTGATTTGGTGTCCTTATAGAAATACTCCATATATAAAGACATAGTTTTTATTCCTTTTTTTTTTAACTTAAAGTCAAGTATTCTATACTTTATGATACATATACAGCTTAATAGAATTGAAGATCATGCCATAGCAACATATAATGAGTTGTTTGGGGAGTTTTGGGTTTTCCTTTTTTGATTGATTTTGGTTTTGCTTTTTTAATGGTTATGTTATATTCTGTTTATGCAGCGTATTCCCTAATGATGGACATTGTGTTGTTTTTACTTTTTGGTAAGCCTGGTTGAGTGCTGCTTGAACCTGTTTTTGTTTGTTTTCAATACTGGGGATTGTACCCAAGTGTGCCCTATCACTAAGCTACACCCTTGGCCCTTTTTATTTTTGAGACAGGGGCTTGCTAAGTTACCCAAGTGGACCTCAAATTTGCAACACTCTTGCCTAAGCATCAGGTAACTGGATTACATGTGTTCACATGCCCCACTTGTTCATAGTTTTTGTACGTCCTTTCACCACCCTGGCAGAGGATACCCCTCTTCGCAGGACACTGCTTTTCCTCTAGAAACCTAGCATATTCCATTGAAGATTTCTGGGGCCTAGGGTCTCAGTTCAGGAGAGTCTAGCAACAAATATTAGACCAGAGTCCAAATGGCTTACTCAACAACCTCAGTGGAAAGGAATGGTGTTTAATAGTGTGCAAGCATGATATACTCAGCCATCCTGGCCAGTACAGGCCCACTCATCTCCATGTATTTACAGCATTTGACAGTCACCAAAGCCATAATGAGCATTTGATTTAAATAGGTGAAAGAAATGAAAATACCCCTCCTAGACCAGGATCAGTAGTCATTGAGGTGACCCCCCTTAGGATGTTGTCCCCATAACTTAGAGTAGATACATTGCCACAGGGTGGTACCCTTATTTTCTGGAAAACTGGTTGTAGAGCAGCCCACTCCCAGTGAGACTCTGTACTGACCAGAGCCATCCTTCTGAAGCAGCAAGAAGTGATTCTGATGTAGCAGATTTCTTAGCAAAAGCTGATGGAGGGAGAAAGAGAGCTGTTAGGTGAAGTAATTTCTCAGTAGATTTCTAAGTGTCAGATATGGGAAAGGAGCAGTCTCTTACTCAACTTTCTACCTCCACCCATCTCAGCAAAATGTCCTTTTTCCTCCCGCCCCCTGGGACAGCGTCAATCAGGGATGACTGACTTCAGTCTCCATCTTTTCCAGAAGTCAGACTGATACCTTGTGGCCCAAGGCTTCCATCATAAATCACAGTGTTAACATAAACTCTCTTGTCTAGCCTAAGCTCTCAAGTAAATAGAGCTGCTCTTATCAGGCAGGATATTCTAAGGATAAGGGACCAGGCAAGGGCCAGATCTTTTTTTGGAATGTGGAGGGTAGGGATAGCCCAGACTTGCTAAATTAGTTATTTACCAACAATAAACAGGGGTTTGCATTGGCTGACACAGCAACACCAGTGGAAAGGGACTGGTGTTTGGTAGAGTGCACAGATGCAATGAGTAGCACTTGCATTACCAGCTTTGTCCTCAATGGGTTTCATTCACTTGTTTTTTGTGGTACTGGGCGATTGAACCCACGTCCTTACTTATACTAGGCAAGCAAGCATTCTACCACTGAGCTAAACGCCCAGCCCCCAGTGTTTTTTCTTGCAACCAAAGGCCTGGTTTTGTGTGTTTGGCTATACTGGGGATCAAACCATGGCCTTGTACATGCCAAGCAAGTGCTCTGTCATTGAACTACATCTTCAATCCTTTTTATTTTTTACTTTGAGATGAGGTTTCTCTAAGTTGCCCTGGCTGGCTTCAATTTTAGAATCCTCCTGCCCCAGCTTCCTGAATAATTAGGATTTATAGACATGTGCCACTGCACCCAGCCTGATTTGTGTTTCTGAATCCACTCCATTCCATGGCTGCTATAGTCAGAGATCCAGGTTTGACCATGTCCTATGTGTGCTCAGGTATACCTGCCTGTGCATG